TCTCAGAGTTGCTTTCTTCTAACACTGAACAAGGAACTTCATTGGACTAAGGAAAACCAGATCATCCCTAAAGAGTACCACCACCCCCCCTTTCTCACTATGTCTGGCCAACAACTTCCCCTTCCCAATTCATTTCCTGGCATGGTTTTAAAGAAACGGCCCACGCATCCTCAGAATCGCTGCTCAAAACTCAGGCAGCAAGACAGAGACAGCCCGCTCCTCTTCAGCTGGGGCTGCTCAAGTTATAGGGAGAGCTCCCTCCTCTCCAGTGTTCAGAGCATCCCCTCCTGGCTACTGTTGGCCACGGTCAGGATAGTGGGCTAGATGGACCTTTGGTCTGACCCAGTAGGGCCATTCGTATGTTCCTGTTCTGCTCTCCTTTAACCAGTGTGTAACCCACTGGTGAATGTGGCACGTGCTTCCCTCTGTGCCCAGCCCACGGAGGCTGTGAGGCTCTTACAGCCCCATCCACAGAGCCTGGCTTCTCAGCTCAAGCTGTGCAGACTCTTCCGTTCCATTTCAGGTAGGTTCTTATGCCTCCCAGAGCGCCTTGCGGCAACTCCTGCCGTCAGCCGGGCCCCAGTTCAACCCTCGCCAAAATCACAGCAGCCACGATTCCACCGAATAAACCAGAGAGCTCAAACCTAGTGCTGTTAGCAAACTCAACCAAAACCCCACCAGGACCAAATCGTTTTCACAGCAATGCCCTTGGCCGCCGGAGCTAGGTCAATAAAATGTGTTTCCGGTTCTTTCCATCTCAAGGGTGCCTGGCGATTTTTATTCCCCTTCCGGTCCTAGAGCCAGAGGGGGGGTAATCGCCTAGGACAGTGGGTTACAGAGTCTGCTCTTATTATGCTTCCTTGGAGGAAGTGCACCCTCTGGGGAGACAAGCTTTCCCAGTGATGGGCGCATGAGTCCTCCGGCGCCGTGTATTCACGTCAGGCAGACAGTGGCAGCTCTGTGATCTATCACGCACTCGCATTCTGTAAACAAGTCAAGAGGCGCTTCTTCCTGCTATCTGAGCAGTGCGGCATAGCCCTGAACGCGGGAGCGGGGGCTGCAGCGCATCAGAGCCTGGAGTCCGAAAGAAATATCAAAGAGCTCCTGAACGAGCAGGAGCTCTCAGGGCTGGGCCAGGTCCCGAGGGAGTCCATCCCAGCAGGAACTGGAGTAGCTGAGTACCAACAGGGCGGAGGGAGACTAGCCAGGTCCCCCCACCCCTTCCTCGCACCCAGACTAGACAGACCCCATCCCCCACTCCCAGCAGGGACCTCAGGCTTCAAGCTGGCCCAGCCACATGGCCTGGAGAGGAAGAGTCCCTGGGGTGGGGACAAACGCAGAGGTGAAAGTAAGCCGGTACGCCCCGGTACAGTGTACCGGCAAGAGCCGGTGCACCGTACCGGGGTGGCCCGGCTTCCCCAGGCGGCAATTTAAAGGGCCCGGGGCTCCGGGGGAGAGCCGTGCTGCCGGAGCCCTGGAGTAGCAGCAGGGCTCCGGGGGTTATTTAAAGGGCCGGGGCTCCCGCTGCCTCTACTGCCCTGGGCCCTTTAAATAGCCGCCGGAGCCCCACCACCACTACCCCAGGGCTCCGGCGGCTATTTAAAGGGGCGGGGCAGTAAAAGCAGGGGAGTCCTGGGCCCTTTAAATAGCCCCCAGAACCCTGGAGTAGCGGCGGGGCTCCGGGGGCTATTTAAAGAGCCCGGGGCTCCCACTGCCTCTACGGCACCAGCCCTTTACACCGCTGCCGGAGCCCCCGGCTGCCGCTGCTACCCCAGGGCTCCAGCAGCGGGGCTCCAGGGGCTATTTAAAGGGCCGGGGCCGTAGCAGCGGCCGAGCCCTGGGCCCTTTAAACTGCTGCCGGAGCCCCCAGCTGCCGCTGCTACCCCGGCGGAGGAGGGGAGGGCACTTACCGGTACAGGGCGGGCCGGGGCTGGCTCTGACCCCCCCCATTCCCACCCCTTCCGCCTGAGGCCCCAACCCAGCCCCGTACCGGTAAGTCCCTATTTCTACTTTCACCCCTGGACAGATGTAACCCTTAAGAGCAGGGAGATCCCCAAGCAGGCAGGCTGTTTATTGCAGGACTAACATAACTTTCGCAGAGCAGCAAAACCCAGAAGAGCAGTGATTGAGCATCCCCCCCCCCTCCCCTGGGGCCCCTTGAAAGCATTCCAGTTCCTGGTTCCATGCAGCACCTGGCGTGTGCTGTTTAGATACTCGGAACAGAAAAGCTCAGGAAGATGGCAGGGCTTAAAAGCAATCCCTGCAGAGAGGATGCGCCAAGGTTAACACAGACAGAGCAGATTGGGTTTTGGTGCCATCTGATAAAGCCTGACAGCATCAGAATAGCTCCCCATGCTTCCTGGAACCCAGCGGATCCCGGCCATGTGCCAGCTGCTTTATTCCCTCCGGTAATCCCCACTGGCTACTCAACTGAGCGAGGCAAACAGGGTTCGGCCCTTCCGTTCCGCCGCGCTGGATGTGAAGCAAGCAAGCTGCCTTGGTGCCAACCCGCCAGGTGTGCTACAAGATTGCGGAGAAGCGAACAGATGTCGGGAGCCTCCACGGTGCTTTCTCTGCCGCGCCAGGTTCCTTGTCACATCAGCTCTTCGTCACCTTCCCTTCCGTTGGAGTTAGCTGCATTGCCAGTTGGCTGCTTCCCCCCCTCCATACCCCCCCCCCCCCCCCGAGACTCTGCTGGCACCATCTGCATCCCAGGAGGGCGCCGATGTGCCAATCAATTGTTCTTAGCATGAGATTTAAAGAAGAAAATGAAAGAACAAAGGGCCAGATCCCCATAGCTGGTGTCGAGCTCCATTGATGTCAGGGAAAGGAAGATTTACACCCACTGAGGATCTGGCCCTAGGTACTTGTAGCTTGCCAAGGGACAATTGTCTACAAGCATCTGAAGAGTGTCAATACCCAGGTTCAGAGTCTGCACCTCTTACTCCTGAGGAGTAGAACTGCACGCTGTGAGTAGCCCCATTGACGCTAGTGGATGTATTTCTAAAGCATGTCAAGGGTGCCTAGAGCATATCGATAGATCCCCATTTTAGCATTGCTACAAATCTAATCAATCAATAAATGGTGTGTTACTGTAAAATGCAGGTTGGAGGGGGACAAGTTCCTTGCTATAGGAAGCCAGGAGCTGCCTACCAGTGCCGCCCAGTGGTCAGTGAAGTCTGATATACTTTTTCCAACCATGGCCAGTACCAGATGCTTCATGGCAAGAGCTCTGTAATAACCTGCCTATCTGGGCAGTTTTGCCTAACCCTGGGCAGTTAGCGGTTGACATATACTCTGAGCCAAGTGTGCATATCGCTTACTTATCTTATCTTATCTTATCTTATCTTATCTTCTGTAACTGATCTCATTGTCCAGATAAACAGCCAGTCTCTTTGCTTCAATAACATCTTGTGGCAGTGAGTTCCACCGGGTAATTTTGATGTGTGTAAGAAAAAAAAAAAGTCCCTTCAGTTTCAAATCTGCTGCCTTTCAATTTCATTGACTGTTCCCTTGTTCTGGCATTATGACCGAGGGTGTTCCTGTCCACCCTCTTATCCTGCTTTATACCATTCTTTATTTCATATATATCTATCACAGCCCCTGCTATTCATCTCTTTTCCAAACCAAACAGTCACAATCTTTTTAAGATCTCATATTTGGAAGACTTTCCATTCCCCCAGCTTTTTTTGTCACTCATCTCTGAAACCCCTATTTCCGCTACATCTTTTAGGTGCTGGGAGGACCAGAACTGGACACAGGGTTGAAGGCTGATTTAGACAGGGCTAGCTTGTAGACTGTCAGTATTGTAGTAAGTAAAGGCCCTGATAAAGGCCCAGTATGAGGCCTAAGGCCTGAACTAAAGAAATGGTCAAGACTTTGCTAACATAAAGCAAAGTTAAGCGGTGAGTCAAAGGCAGGCCCTGCTCACAGAAGCTGGCAGGAAAAGGGCTGATGTTGCATAGATATATATTCACCTAGCAAAGTTAAAGTATAAACATGGTACCGAGACATACCATACGGGAACATTCCACAGATAACATGGAACAGGCCGACCCATCCCAATGACAGGGGCAAAAGGGTAAAATGATGGATAAAGTTGTTTTGATCGAACCAACATGTACAAGGTGAGAGGCGGCACCTTACTACGTAGAGGGGTTGCACCTTGCTGCGTAGAGGGGCTGCACCTCAATACGTCAGGAGTGATGTGTAACTTGTTTGTACCTGTGTATAAGAATGTATCCCTGGGGCGGTGTCTTGGTCCAGCCGAGGGGGCAGTGGAAAGTCCCACCACTGACTGAGCTGAGTCCATTGCCGAGCGGCACTTTCTCGTAGTATGCCCTGGATTAGGCTAAGAAACCTACAGGGAACTGCAATTGTGTCAGGGTCGCAATAAACCTGGCCGAGGTGCCTTCGTACCTTACTAGACTCTGTGGTTATTGGGGGTTCTCGTCGGGTTTGCTGTGTCAGCTATAAGCAGAGCTGGGACCGCACACAGAGGGAACACACACACGCAGCCGAGTGATATCAACACAGGAGAAAGCAGAGCACCACACCGGTAGCATCTGACAACAAGTATGATGTAGCCTGGGGGGGGGGGGGGTAGTAATTTGCTGCCGGTCTATCCCAGCAGAAAATCACTACCTTCCCCGTACTGGCTTGGGATTGTGTGTTGGGAGCAGGCAAAGGCCCATGTCTCACCCATTTGCACCATGGTGGGGAAGAGCAAGTACAAGCACCCGTCTACCCCTGCATGCCCAAATCCACTAGACAGGCCAGACAGGCATAAACGGAGCACAGCTGTCTTGGTCTCCCTTATGATGCAGCAAGGCAGTGCAGTTCCAGGAACAATCTAGCCCATAATGAATAGAGACGCTACTGATTCCAGATATTGGGCTAGGTAGAAAACCAGCATTACCAGCAAATCTGTTTGTTTCCTCTGAATCTCTTACCATTAAAACACCTCCTCGGTTCACCTCTGTTATTTTCTTCTCTTCCAGGTGGGCTGCAAGGCCGCAATGGTTTTCTTTCAGTACTGCATCATGGCCAACTTCTTCTGGCTGCTGGTGGAAGGCTTGTACCTACACACCCTTCTGGTCGTCTCTTTCTTCTCAGAGAGGAAGTACTTCTGGTGGTATATCCTGATTGGTTGGGGTACGCACTAGAGCCTTGAACGGGAATGGTAGGAAAATGAACTCGAGGTGACCTGGAGCTGTCTCAAGCAGGGACTTAACCCCTTAGCATGTGGGATCAGACAGGACAGAGAGGTGATATGTGTGCATTACCTTTCTGCCAGGTGGTGTTAGTGGTGGTAGGATCAGATTCAGATGGGGGTGTCTGAGGGTTCTGTTTAAAATAAACAAAATGGTTGGCTTGAGCGCCTCCCCTCCCCTCCCTGAAAGCTTATTCTGTCCCATATTTCAGGCACTTAAGATTTAAAGCAGCTGGAGGTGTTTCTTCCTCACTCCGATGCACACAGGAGACCTGGGAAATCTGAAACCACAAGTAGCCCCTATTTGAGAAAGCAAATAAACCATCTATTTATACGGTGAAATGAAATGAGCATAATCCAGACATAAGAACATAAGAACGGCCATACTGGGTCAGACCAGAGGTCCATCTAGCCCAGTAGCCTGTCTTCCGATGGGGCCAATGCCAGGTGCCCCAGAGGGAATGAACAGAACAGGGAATCATCAAGTGATCCATCCCCTGTTGCCCATTCCCAGCTTCTGGCAAACAGAGGCTACGGACACTATCCCTGCCCATCCTGGCTAATAGCCCTTGATGGGCCTATCCTCCATGAACTTATCTAGTTCTTTTCTGAACCCTGTTATAGTCTTGGCCTTCACAACATCCTCTGGAAGGAGTTCCACAGGTTGACTGTGCGTTGTGTATAAAAATACTTCCTTGTTTGTTTTTAAACCTGCTGCCTATTAATTTCCTTTGGTGACCCCTTAGTTCTTGTGTGATGAGAAGGAGTAAATAACACTTCCTTATTTACTTTCTCCACACCAGTCATGATTCCATAGACCTCTGTCATATCCGCCCTCAGTCATCTCTTTTCCAAGCTGAAAAATCCCAGTCTTATTAATCGCTGCTCATACGGAAGCCGTTCCGTACCCCTCATCATTTTTGTTGCCATTTTTCGAACCTTTTCCAATTACAATATATATTTTTAAGATGGAGCAACCACATCTGCACGCAGTATTCAAGATGTGGGCGTACCATGGATTTATATAGAGGCAATATGATATTTTCTGTCTTATTATCTATCCCTTTTAGACAGACAGAGTATGAACCAACCCCGTAGTCTCGGTTCATACCTGCCCAGCTTGGCGAGGGCCCAGAACTCTGGTTTGTAAAACAATCCTCACCCACCCACAACATTGTCACAATTGGAGTCAACGTCTCAGTAGTGAATGAGATTGAGAGGTCAGGTGGGAATAGGCCTGGAAGGGCCTTGACAGTGAAAACAAGTAGCAACTGTGACACTAATCCCTCTTCCTCTTCTGTTAGGTGCACCATCGGTTTTCATCACAGCCTGGACTCTCATCAAGGTTCACTATGAGAACATCGGGTAAGTCTCTGAAGTCATCTTAATTTCTTCGAATTTAAGACACCTTAAAGGAAAACGTATCAACGGCTAACTCAAAACTCTGCTCAGCAAGAACGAACTGTAAAAAGTCTTTGAAAATCAAACTTTTCCTTTAGAATTGGCCTTTCTGAGAGGTGATACTGACTTAACCAGCATAAAAAGAACTGTCTTCACAAGTTAAAATGGCGAACATTCGCTTTTAAATCTAATGAGCGAACGGATGGGCTTGTTTTTCAAGCACAAGGCCAGGAGCCCCAAGATCTCAGTTCTAATCCTGGTTCTGCCACATTGAATTTACTCCCTCTGTGATTCCCTTCCCCCATCTGTGCACAGAGGTAATAATATTAACCTGATTCACAAGGGATTTGTGAGGCCATGGCTAATTCATTAATGCTTCTAAAGGTCTTTGGCATGCTTGGATGGCAGCTGCTTTGGAAATGGAAAGTATTATTAAACATATTGGCCAAATTCATCCGTGGTGTAACACTGCTAATGCTAACTAAATTGAGATCAGTGGAGTTACCCCAGGAATGCATTTGGCCCATTGAGTGCCCATTTGACCCATTGTAAAACTCCCATAGGAGCCAATGGGAGTTGCACTTGCATATCTGAGTGTACAGTTTGGCTCTATAGGTTAATGTTTATTGTCGATTATTTTAATCCGAGATTAAAGCAGTTGGGAACTGCCTTCTAGTCTCCTAAATGGGCCCTTCCACCCATGTCACAAGTAATGGTGGCCACCGAGAAGTGACAATGTCATTATCATTGTTGCTGTGCTAATTTAGGGCTCATGTCTCACCTCCCCTTTCACTTGCAAATTACTGGACAAAGCCGACATCAGTTGAGTACTCTTCTCGTTTCCATCTGGTGACCCTGCTGGAGCACAGGATCTCTGATAACAGCACCGCTCTGTTCAGGTGTTGGGCTTTTTGTGGCCCCACAGAAAGTTACACTTCGGTCAAAACCTGCCAAAGATGCCACTTTGGGGACGGATCCTGTGAGGGTGCAAAGCGCCCTTGCTGTCCATTTCAATGGGAGGGGGACGTCTTGCTGGACTGAGTGCTATGTTTGTGAGTGCCACAGTAACTGAATAAGCACCCCATGCCTCTCCCGCCATAGTCTCCAGTGACCTTTTCCCAGCCAAACCCTTTGAGTCTGTACTCCACCCCCATCCTCCTGGACAAATGTTTATGTTCTTCTTTAAATCTGGATCAGATAAATTGTAGCTAACAAGATGGGGCAACTTTTACAAGTAACAAATGACACGTGAATAATTATGACCTGTCCTGCAATCTGTACTCATGTAGAGTAACGCTTAGACAAGCCGTCCTCCTGAAGCCAGTGGGACAACTTGTATGGTAACTACTAGTCAGGGTTGCAGAATCAGGCTTTAGTTACCTACATGTTGGGTACACCCTTCTAACATTTGCCACATGCAATTACTTACATTTTATCCAATTAATACCCCTCCCTGCACAAAAAACCTGGTGCACTTTGCCCTTATTTCAGTGATCCAAGCATCTCAACTGGTCTCATTTCATATTGCTGTATGGTCGCCAAAACCCATGTGCTGAGGATTACCGCACCCATTTCTACTGAAGTGGCTTTACTCCAACTGCATAAAACTGCTCTGATTTGTTCAACTCTCTTCATAAATTCCCTATCAATTGAGACAGGGACCCAAGGTCTCTCCAGTTGTATTTGGCCATTCTGGCCACCTATTCTTCTCAGCTCTGTGCAGCCCCATATTAACTATGTAGGGTTCCCCCTCCCTTCCCCTCCCATTGCTCTCTGCTTGAAACGACACTACGTTAATATGCACTGCGGAACTTTTAGTGCGCACCGGCAAGTTCTACAGGAGCCAGTTAGTGTGCGACACATCGGTGCGCTTTAGAATTCACACCCTTCTAGCATACATTGCCATATCGCGTAGTGTGGTGTTTAGATGTTGCTTGTAATTATTAGAACTGGGAGCACTGGCTGTTGGGAGTCTGAAAGGACAGGAAGGAGGGGGGAGGAGTTGAGGAGGCAGAATGAGAGTTGCAGAGGGTGCAGCAGCAGCTTGGTAAAGAGGTTTCCACTTTAAAAATAAAGTCCTGTTGAAGTTTGTTAGTACCTTGCCTGGTTGATACAACACGTAGGCAATCCTGAGACACTTCTTTCTTCTCAGATTCAGTTATTGAGAGGGGGTTTCTCAGTTTCTCAGTGGCTTTGTGAAGACCCCCTTCATCTTCATCCCTCTTTTACCCTTTTTAGTGGCCTGAGCGCAGGATTAGGACCTAATCATTCCTCTAGTCTGCCCACCGTTGAATCTCCCTGTGATCTTTGAACAAGAGACACTTAGCCTCTCTGCCTCAGTTTCTCTAATTATAAAATGGGAATAGCAATCCCCAGCCCGCATGGGCATCATGAGCATTAATTGGTTACTAGTTCTAAAGCACTTTGAGGAAAAGAAGTGCTGAGCATTATCTTTTCCTTTATTCCCATTTTTGGGGCAAGTCTATGCTTAAGAACATAAGAACAGCCATACTGGGTCAGACCAAAGGTCCATCTAGCCCAGTATCCTGTCTTCCAACAGTGGCCAGTGCCAGGTGCCCCAGAGGGAATGAACAGAACAGGTAATCATCAAGTGATCCATCCCCTGTTGCCCATTCCCAGCTTCTGGCAAACAGAGGCTAGGGACACCATCCCTGCCCATCCTGGCTAATAGCCATTGATGGACCTATCCTCCGTGAATTTATCTAGTTCTATTTTGAAGAACTAGATAATGCTGCATCCACTCAGCTGTGCTGTACCACTTTAATGAAGAACTCTACGCCGACAGGAGAGAGCTTTTCCATCGGCTTAGTTAATACAGCTCCCTGAGAGGGAGTAGCTATGTGAACAGGAGAAGCTCTCCCACCGACATAGCGCTGTCTACACGGTGGGTTAGGACAGTCTAAGTACATCATTTCTGGGGGGTGGATTTTTCACAGCCCTGAGCGACACAGTTATACTGTTATAGGTCTGTAGCGTAGACCAGACCTTTCTTTTTCTTTCACCTTCTGTGGGCTTCAAACCTATTGCCATCTGAATTGTGTGAAAATAAAGATTCACTGGCCAGTTCATGCCAAACACCCGTCTTTAGAAGGGCCATTCTTAATTGCTGAAAAATAATATACCACCGTACACCTGTCTCTTTAAAACTATGTTTTGCCTGAAATTTCACAGGGTTTCCCCAAAACCACAACTCATTCCAAGCTTGTTGGGAACTTGATGAATCTGTACCCTATGTAGCATCCCTGCTTACCTCCCCCGAATGCCTGTATTAATGTTGTTCCTCCATTGACTTCTCAGTACAGTGGTTTGCACAGTATCTCACTGCAGCGTTCCAGAATATCCCAGGGGAGCTGTGAAAACACTACTAAGAATGGTCATACTCTCTCAGGGATGGTTTTGAGAGCAGTTCATCATGACCAGTGGAGCCATTCAGGCTTAGCATAAAGAACATTGCGTCCTAGGCAAAAGAGCAGATAACCCACAAGCGTGATCGTAATGGTCCTTTCTGGCTTTAAAATCAGAGAGTCTAAGCTTTGAGAGGCTTGCTGGCTTGAATTTGTCTGCAGGGCAGCAACTGTCATTTGAGTGTCTCATGAACCAATCTGGGATTTTATGGTTTTTATTCCCGGTGGCATACATTTTGCAAGAATTAAAGGAGTTCCCCTAACAGCCAGATGTGCCCATTTATTGAGCGTCCCTAAATGAACCTAAAAATGTATGTAATAAAATAAGTATTTTAGTTGGTGCCTTTATGCTCCAGTGCTGGGCACCTGGGCTTTCAAAACCGTGATAAAGTTGGTTCTCTTTAGCGTATACTGTTTCTTATCAATATGTCTCTCATTCGTAAGTAATGTGTTTATTGCAATGACTAGAGCTGATTTAAAAAAAAAGAGGAACAAAATTATAAATGTGTCCCTCTGTTAATAACAAAACCGATTAGTTCCATAGGGGGGAAAAAGGAAAAATTGTTGTAAACATTGTCAAAAATGTTCCTGTTCACTTTTAAAATTGTATAATTGACATTTCTAATTTCCTACCAAATGTTGACCAGTTAAAGACAACCCATATCACAACCCATGGGATGAAATCCTTCATCCCATTAAAGCCAATGGGAGTTTTGTCATTAACTTCAGTTGGGCCAGGGTTTCCCCCAGCAGGGTAGTTACTGCTCTTTGCTCTGTGGAATCCCTGTCTGTGAAGCTTTGCATCTGAAATATTGGTAGCCGCCCAGATCTGGAGCTTTCGTCAGATTTCAGCGTAACAGCCTGTTTGCTCCGATTTGGTGGTTATTTTCCTTTGTTTATTTTCAGGTGTTGGGAGGACATTGGCGAGTCCCGGTACTGGTTGATCATCAGAGCTCCTATTGCGGTTTCTATTTTGGTAAAGTATCAGCCATCTCCACTGGCTGCAAAAGCCCTCGTTAGTGAAAACTCAGCGCCTAGGTTATACAGGGATGGGTGTTCTGTAAATGGCATATGCAGGCAGACAGATGTAAGTGGATAGACAGGCTGACTAGAAAACAGTCTTTGCCAAGCATTTCTCGGATGTGGATGAATTGTCTTCACAGCACGGGCCAGCCTAACTAACTGGGGTTAAAGTAACTTTCCCTGCTGGGCAGGTTATCCGGAACTGCCTGCTGAAGGGCTTGTTGTACCTTCCCCTGAAGCAGATGGTGCTGGCCATTCCCAGAGCCAGGATACTGGATTAGTTGTACCGCAGGTCTGCTCCAGTCTGGCATTTCCTGTGTTCTACTGTAACTAATGCGAGAAGAGCAGATGTTTCCTTATTAGAGTCCCGTTTGCAAAACCTTTCCACCCTTTAAGAACTAAGTCATGGATTAGAATGCCCAGGACCTGTTCCTGTGAGGTGCTGAGCCCTGCCTGAGGGTGACGTCCTTCCCAAAGGAGGTTTGACTTTGAATAAAGTTAAAGTTAGACTTCAGGAAGAGCTGAGGACTCTTGGCAAGTCTCATGAGGCGCACTGCACCTCGTAAGATCCGGCCCTCAGTCCTCAAGCTCCCTTAACACTTCATCCCGCAGCATCTGGGAGGAAAGGGCAAGTGCTCAGATATTACAGTGGTGGGCAGTGATATAAAGAAACCTCTGATAGATGGAGGAGCACGTGGGAAAGGAGGTTGAGTTGCCCAACCTGGAAAGTTCGTGGAACCGATCTCCAAGAAAGAGGCACCAATGAGTGTTACAAACACTTTACCTCTGCTCTGAAAAAGAAGGACACAGATATTTAAGAACATATTGATTCACAGTAGCAAATAGATACATCTAAGGGGTGGGGAACTCTACCCAAGTTAGGTTGAACTAGCTACGTCACTCAGGGATGTGAAAAATTCTCAGAGCCATAGTTAAGCTGACCTAAGCCCCGATGTAGACACCACTAAGTTGATGGAAGAATTCTTCCATCAACCTAGCTGCCAATTCTCTGAGAGGTGGATTTACTATCGCAATAGAAGAACTTCTTCTGTGGCTATAGTAAGTGTCTACGCCACAGCAGCACAGCTGCAGCTGTGTCTCTGTCACGTTTCTAGTGTACACATATCCTAACTCAGTTTCAAAAAACAATGCTCCAACTTTCTCTGCCAGCATTAGGGTTTTCTCTGCCGGACCCCTCTGTCTCAGACCCTAGTTTCCTTTGCCCCAGAGAGGCTCCATCCCCTCTTGTAATCTGGTTGGGAGCTAATCAGATCCACCTGCTAATATGACTCGTTATTAATTAAACTGCACCTTCATGCATGGTTCAAGACCCAACCCACCAGAGGAGCCCTGCTTCTCAGTGCAGGGACTTAGAGTCTGTCCCTTGTTACATGCGGTTAAACAGCTCTATTATTGATACCCATACACGGGTCATCTTCAGTTGTACACAAGTAATTCCCCCATCAGCAGGCAGTACTCCCACACATCTGGCAGCACAACTGGGCCAAGGAATGTCATAAGCAGGTTGTCTGACCCAGTATACCTACCCATTTATTGGCCCCATCTCACCTCCTTGATTTTCATCAGACCCCTCATTTTCATCTCTTCCTTGCATTCGCCTCCAACCAATTCTCATTTTCTCTTGAACACATAAATAGTCTTCTCTGGTTGCAGTTTTGTTTCAAATGCAAAATTCAGCCCAGGCTCATCGGGAGGTATTTAAACCTTCTCTGATGGAAATGTCCTAAAGGATTTAATAACAAAAAAAACACTTTTCTATAGGTGTTTTGCATCATCCTATAGAATCTAATAGAAAATTATATCCTTGCTATAGGCTTTTAAAGTAATTTCTCAAGGTTCTTGATCTAGTTCCCATTGAAGTTGTGGAAGCAGAGAGTCTGCGCAATTGTGAGAGTTAATAAAGCATCTGACTTGCTGTACCCAAACAAATAGTGAGAACTCTGTTTTTCTCTGACAATGTCAATGGGAGACTCTGATATCTAGCTCTTTCTGTGGGAGCTAGAAGAGGCAATAGAGCCCCATGATGTTTCTGAAGACATCTGTTGGTTCCATCCCTATTGATTCTATACAATTTCTCCATTTGGGTGTTCATCTGGGTCCATTTGTGAGCATCTGCAATCAGATGAACTTCAGTTGAATTCAGCTTTGAGTTTGTTCCCCAAACTCCGGGCGAACATGTGGGAGGGGAAGGACAGAGAAAGCGACATCAACAAAACAAGATTTAAACAGCCCACACCAAACTGAGATCTCTGTCTTGCACATAAGTTCTCCTGATGGCCAACGTATATTACCCTTTGCGTGAAGCAGATCTGCCTGCATCACCTGTCACGGAGCTAATCTCAAGAACAAACATTTTTAATAACTGCTTTGTATTTTATTAACCTTACTAAACTGAAATGAAATCCGTATCTGACATATGTCAAAATATTTGTCTTTCCGAAAGACTGGTAGATCAGATTTTCTCTTTCCAGGTGTAACCTTTTTTACGAAGAAATACACCTCATTCTCCTGAGATGGGAGGCCTACTATCTTTTGCTGTTGTTCAATAAAACAAGTCTAAACTTTTTTCTCAGCACAAAACAGACCCTGTCCAGTAATTACGATTTTCTTCTGCATGCCTCAAACAAATCCATCGCTAAAGCCCGTCCCCTTTGCCCATCTGCCTGAGCACAATCCACTCACATTTAACCTTCCCTGTTCACTCTCTCAGCCACCTGGGCTTGACACGGTCAATGCTGCACGCTGCACAGACGCTTGGGAAGCAGCTCAGATCTTCTGTTCGCTTACTACAACTCGCATGTTACCGATGCTGAGTAGAATCTGCCCCCTACGTCTAGGTGCCTGTGTGTCTGAGGCAAATCTCTTTTTTTTTTTCTAAGCTAGTAAACATGATCAGAAACCATGGCAAGCAAAGTGGGATAACTAAGATGTGGGTAATTAAGCACTGGCATAGTTTGACCAAGGGCTGTGGTAAATTCTCCATCCCTGAGAGTCTTTCAATTAGGAGTCTAAACGAGAGGTGTGCTGGCTCATTCACAAGTTGTTGGGCAAGATGTAGGAATCGCTCGATGATGTTCTCTAGCCTGGGCTGTGCAGAAGGTCAGACGAGATGATCATAATGGTTCCTTCTGGCCTTTACATCTATGACAATATAAAATAAGAATCACTTGAGGGGTCATTAATGGTAAAGGATAAGGAAGGAGATTTTGTGCCCAGACTGGTCTAAATTCACACCAGGGTTTCAAGTCTTCTCTGGTGTAGATCATCTCCTGCTTATGAGTTGTGCCAAGCAGCAGCATGGTTCAGAGGTTAGAGCACTGCTGTGGGGATTGGGGAGATCCGAGTTTTAGTCTTGCCAGATGCTGTGTGACTTTGGGCAAGTCCCCTCTCTCCTCCCCAACCCGTGCCTCAATTCCATCTATAAAATTAGGATAATAGTACCTGGCTACCTTTACAGAGCACTTTGAGATCCTCAGATGAAAAGCAGAGCTGGGGATAATAAAAATAGCTCAGGGACACCAATGGCTTTATGCTTTGGCCTAGTCTGGAAGCAGAGGCAATGTGCCAGTGTTACCCGTGATGTTAATTCCCTGCTGCCCTAGCTTGCCGGCGTGTGTGTGAAGAAGGCATGCCTGGTGAGGCGGATTAGGAGTCTGTTTGCAGTTCTCTCTGACACCGTTCCGTGTATCTATTTTTCTGCGCACGGCCCCAATCTCAGTCTGTGACGTGCCCGGCAGCGAGCCCCGTATCGCCGTCTACTGCGGGCCGTGACCTCCGCTGCTCAACTAACCGAAAAGCTCTAATCCTGCCCCGTCGCAAGCCCCCCCGCGGAGCAGGACGTCGTGCAGAGCTGTGCTCTATGGGTTTGACATCATCATACTTGAGATGTATGACACAAAGTCCCAAGCAGGCTGATGTCAGGCCCAAGATGGCTGCCATTCTGTCTCGGTTTACCACAGTGCTCACAGAGTGGGGTTTTCTGCCTGTGGCTTTTTAACAACGGCTCGTTCCATGAACAGATCATTGAGGCAAAAGGAATACCCTCTAACAACTAGCTCTTTTCACTGCAGAAAGGGATTGTGGGAGTTTAACCCCCTTTTCTCTCTCTCTCTCTCTCTCTCTTCTTTCTCTCCTCCCCATTAGGTGAACTTCATCCTCTTCATTTGTATTATCCGGATCCTGTTCCAGAAGCTGCATTCCCCAGATGTCGGGCGCAATGAAACCAGCCAGTACTCGTAAGTCTTAGACGCTGTGTTCACCTGAACCATGCAGTTTTGATGAGACCTGTCAGGCCAGGCTGTTTGCTTACCCAGAACCATCCTCTCTGTCTTCATTTGATTGATCCCACTCAGAAATGTTTTGAGTCGATCAAAGATGTCTGAGATTAGGGGGTTGGGAGATATGCTAAAATAATCAAGCGTCTTGCTGTCAAACTGTTTTTAGATGGGTCAGGCGCCTTGCTCCTAGGAATAGCAATGAACAGGTGAGCTCCATGATGACACTTCATTGTAAGACAAACAGGTTCTTGATGTGTACATTCACCATTTACTGGGTTCAGTTGTCAGAGGTGGCTAAAAGTTTCCTGAGGCTCAGGAAGAACGGGCCAAAGCCTCCCCTGGTACAAACCTTCACAGCTCCATTGAAATCTCTTTGCATTCAGCGGAGCTGCACCCTTGTACATCAGCCGAGAACTTGGCCCAGTAATTTCACATCCAGGGTAACTAGATCTAGCCACGTTCTTGGAATCCTCATCCATCGTGAAGTCTTTGGGGTTCAGCCAGACCCCAAGCTCAGTATGTGCTGCCCAGCAGGGGCCTGCTTCGCCAGTACCTGCTTAATCACGCTTTTGGTGAAGACTTTGGGGGAGCTCATCAGGTCCTCGGTACGGTCTCCCGAACCATAGTCTTATCTGGCAGCTCTGTGTCCCAAGGCACTGCAGCCATGAAAGTGATACTGAAAAGAACAGAGTGAGGAATAGAGAGGTGACCGCAGACCACAGTGGACACAGTTGTCTGGAATCCTGTACAGACGGGGGTAGGTTATTTTCATGGTTTAATGAAAAATCAAATGGATTTAATGTCAGTCATTTGTCCAGATGGCAGAAAGAATGCCTGGGGGAAGAGGAGTGATGTGGGATAACTGATAGGAAAGTTCAACCTGTTCTGTGTTCCCCATAGGCAGATGCAGAATGGCTTCTGTCCCCCAGCAGGCTCCAGACCAGGGGAGGGCAAACTACGGCCTGCGGGCCGGATCCGGCCCATCAGGGCTTTCAGTCTGGCCCGCGGGATTGCCAGGCCCTGGCCCCGCGCCGCTCCCGGAAGCAGCCGGCACCACGGCCCACCCCCGCTCCAGACTCTGCTCTGTTACGGCACATTCTGGCTCCTCCCCAAAGGGCGGAGCTACAGGAGAAGCCCTGGATTACATTTCTGTACTAACGGCATGTGACTGACTTCAGTGGAGCGACTTCTGATTTATACCAGTGTCCGTGAGACCAAAGTCAGTCTCACCGGGCAAGATTCTGGTCTCAATTAGATCAATGTAAACCTGGAGTAAGTCTATACAGCTTCACAGATTCACTCCAGCTTAAAGTTATATAACTAGGGCCCTACCAAACTCACGGTCCATAGGACTTTAAAAATTGTAAATTTAATGATTTCAGCTATTTAAACCTGAAATTTTACGATGTTGTAATTGTTCGGGTCCTGACCCTAAAAGGAGTTGGGATGGGGGGGCAGAGAGCTCTGTGTGCCGCCCTTACCTGCAGGCACCGCCCCCCCCCAGCTCCCATTGGCCGAGAACAGGGAACCGCAGCCAGTGGGAGCTTTAGGGGTGGTACCCACAGGTGAGGGCAGCGTGCGCGGAGCCACCTGCCCACCCCACCCCCAGGAGCCACTGCCAGACATGCTGGCCACTTCCAGGAGCAGCGCGGGGCCAGGGCAGGCAGGGAGCCTGCTTTAGCCCCCTGTGCGTCACTGCCACTCCGGAGCCACTCGAGGTAAACGGTGCCAGGACGGAGCCCGCACCCTAATCCCCTGCCCTGAGCCCCCTAACCGCCTTCCCTGAGCCCCGTCCCGCACCCCGACCCCCTGCCCTGAGCCCCCTCCTGCACCCCAACTCCCTGCCCTGAGCCCCCTCCTGCACACCGCATCCCTCCCACACCCCAACCCTACATTCATGGCCCTGCATTCAATTTCCCCACCCAGATGTGGCCCTCTGGCAGGGGTGAAAGTAACTTACAGGACTTACTGGTACTGCCGGAGTCCTGGGGGGCGTGGCCTCATTCAGAAGAGGCGTGGCCTCAACCAGAAGAGGCGGGGCCTCTCAAGATTTAAAGGCCCTGGGGCACCGGCTGTGGCTGGGAGGCCCAGGGCCTTTAAATCAACCCGGGAGTCCCAGCTGTAGAGGTGGCTGGGAGCCCCCGAGGCTCAGGGGCAAATTAAAGGGCCCAGGGCTCCGGCCGCCACAGAGCTCCGGGCCCTTTAAATCCCCACCGCAGCTCCAGCAGCCAGAGTGGGATTTAAAGGGCTCGGGGCTCCCCGCAGCGGCAGGAGCTCCGGGCCCTTTAAATCCCAGCCCCAGCCCGGCAGCCGGACTCGGGCATGGATTTAAAGGGCCCGGAGCTCCTGCCGCTGCGGGGAGCCCTGAGCCCTTTAAATCCCCACCGCAGAAGCCGGTGCGGTCCGGCACGGTGTACTGGCTCTTGCTGGTACGCCGTACTGTACCGTACCGGCTTACTTTCACCTCCACCCTCCGGCCAAAAAGTTTGCCCACCCCTGCTCCAGACTCTGCTGTGTTACGGCACTTTCTGGCTCCTCCCCAAAGGACGGAGTTACAGAAGAAGCCCTGGATTCCACATTTAAAGGGCTGTGCGCTGCACCTTACGATCATTATAAGCTACACTTTCTGTTGCACAAATATGGAAGGGCAGTGGCATTCAGATGCGCTATCGCTGTGTATTCAAATGACCTACATAATGTAGCACTCTGTACTAACGGCATGTGACTGACTTCAGTCGAGCGACTTCTGATTTATACTAGTGTACATGAGATCAAAGTCAGTCTCAATGGGCAAGATTCTGGTCTCAGTTAGATCAATGTAAACCTGGAGCAGGTCGATACAGCTCCACAGCTTCACTCCAGCTTAAGGGTCTATAACTAGGGTCCAACCAAATTCATGGTCCATTTTGGTCAATTTCATGGTCGTAGGATTTTAAAAATTGTAAATTTCATGATTTCAGCTATTTAAACCTGAAATTTCACGGTGTTGTAATTGGAGGAGTCCTGACCCTAAAAGGAGTTGGAGGGGGTCACAAGGTTATTGTGGGGGGGTTGCGGTACTGCTACCCTTCTGCGATGCTGCTGCCAGCAGCAGTGCAGAAGTAAGGATGACATGGTATGGTATTGCCACCCTCACTTCGGCATTGCTGCTTCTGGCGGGGTGCTGCCTTCAGCCACTTCACTTCACCCAACAGCCACTGCTCTTCAGTCGCCCAGCTCTGAAGGCAGTACAGAAGTTAGGGTGACAATACCGTAACCCCCCTAAAATAACCTTGTGACACACACACACACACACACACACACACACACCCCGGCAACTCCCTTTTGGGTCAAGACTTCCAATTTCAGAAACACTGGTCTCCCCCCCGTGAAATCTGGTCTTTTGTGTGCTTTTACCCTATACTATACAGATTTCACGGTCCGTGACGCGTTTTTCATAGCCGTGAATTTGGTAGGGCCCTATATAGAACCAAGATCAGACACCGACCCATTTTTGCCTCTTGCTGCTGTCCTGAGTCAGCATTTGGAACAATCTAGATCTTTATGGAGGGATTCCTAGAACAATTTGTATTGAAAAGGATTTCCAGTGGGTCATTTAGTTCATCCCCCTATATGATGGAAGGACTAATTTCATCATCCTTACTCTGCCCTTAAATTTAGGTGGCTCCCAGAGCCTTGAAAATCTCTTGTGATGGTGATTCCACTTTCTCCACTTGAACTGTTCTTAGACGCGTAAAGGAAATGCTATTTGATCTCCCCATTTCCCTGCTGCAGCTCGCTAAAGCCTGTTCATTTTTGTTCTGTTTTCCCTAACCAGTGTGCGTTATTGGTCCCTGCCTTTTCTATTACATCCCTTTATGTATCGGTAGTCAGATGTCGTGTCTCCCCCGCCGATTACGACATCCCTGTTGATGTGCTGAGATTAAATCTGCATATTGAAATATGTTCTAGAACGAACAGTGTTGTCCTGGCGCCTTCATTGGGTAACTGGCTTCCATTCATCTCAGTGGAAGTTCTGTGTGTGTACACAGGCAGCCAAGGGAAGGATTAGGTCCTAGTGATCTAGGAGGTGGACTTGGTCTTTTTAAAAATGTTCCCAGTGAATTAATGCTGGAAAAAGCTACCAGGAATTCCTTGCTGTACCCGCAGACAAAGATATGGCACAAGAGGCAGTAATACAAGCTTCCCCACACTGCACCGCCAATGCACCCCTCTTGGGCAAGCATAGCCTTCCCCATATCTACCACCCCTCTCCCTACACTTCCCTCTGCAAAAGCTCCACTAGCCCAAGCAGACTCAAACAGGGAGAAGAGCCCAGGAGTCCCTGGTGACCCAGAGGCATCTTGCTGTTGCCAATCTCTGTGACGTGGAAGGGGATCACACACTTCGCGGATGAGTGGCCGTGCAGAACCCTGAGCTGGATGGATAGACAGGCCCCTGGTTAAGCAAGGGGAGTTGATGCTCAACGCTCGTTCAGTCCTTGCTTTTTCTGCTGCCAACAAGGGGGGGGGCAGTTGTACTACGTGCTTTTGTTTGATGTTGCCTCATATGGTGGGAAATAGACTGAGACCCTCAGGGCTGGAATTTTCAAAGGAGCCCAAGAGATTTAAGGGCCAAAATCCCATCAAACTGAACACCTAATTCCCTTAGATGCCTTTGAAAATCCCAGACTCACGGCACAGAGGCCACTGTAGCCTCTTGGCTCCTGTCTCTGCTAGGCTGAGTAAGTCACTCGGAGACCCTGGGGCTCAATAACCAATGGTGCTTTTTATTGACAGGGTTGTGCTCCCACCACCTTCTCACCATACAGCTTACCTAGTGCCGGGTTCCTTGCGTCTGAACCCAGGAGGGAAGGGCTTTCTCCCCGCCTACCCTCCCTCGCTCTCCTCCCTGGCTTCCTTCTTCCCAGCCTCTTATATAGCCCTGGTCGAATTGGGCTGGCAGCTGGCTCTCATTCC